TTTTTTTTGTGATTCAGGATCCACAAAATTTTGATCCATAATCCCAAAAACTCGCAAGATGATTCCATAAATAATCCCTTGATCCTTGAATTTATTTATGCGATCCCAATCCCTCTCCTGTACCTAATCCCTGATTCGTAGCATGTGATTCTTGATCCCACATCCCTTGTCACGACCCTGTTATATAGCTTCAGTTTTTCGATACCCGATAARCAAGATAAAAATACAAGGGGACCATGGGTATATTGCTTTATTTTTCGATACCTAACAACCAAGATAAGGATTGAAAGGATTCATTGCTGTATGGCTTCATTTTTCGTTACTCAAAAACCAAGATAAAGAAATAAGGGAACCATTGTTATATGGGTTCATTTTACGATACCCAATGACCAAGATAAGGATACAAGGGAACAATGGTTATATGGCTTCATTTTTCGTTACTCAAAAACCATGATAAAGAAATAAGGGAACCATGGTTATATGGCTTCATTTTTCGATACCCAAAATGACCAACAAGATAAAGACGGGTCCTTCCCTGACCCGCGAAAGGCAATAATAAGTGAATATCAATCTATAAAAATTATTTTCGTCATAACAGCTCATCTTATGTAAAATCTATAAAATCTATACCAAGAAAATTGTCAGAGATGATATTGGCACTTTAATGGAGGCTCTATTACAATATCGACTTAACGATGTGTCATAATATATTCGTCGTTATAACTCTAACATGAAGATACATAGACGAAATTTCTCCAGCTATCACTACACGCAAGACGATATCATTGCTTGTCCAGTTAGTAGGAATAGAGTGACACCGCGCGGTCACGTGCACGGTCTTCGCACGCCTATAATTTATATTAATACTAAAAAGTTCGAAACCACACAAAATTATATCTATTTAGTAATTAGTCCTCGAGCGCGAGTGGGCTACGAGTCAATAATAGCTCATTAAGCCAAAGGCCGAATGGGCTAATGACTCATAGGTCACGAGGGCGAGAGGACCAATCATTTTCACGGTCAAATCCAACTAGTCGGTGAAAGATATAGATAGTGCAAAGCCTTTGAATTAAAGTTAAATTTAATGTTTTGGTTTTGAAAGCTGGTACTTTTCGCTACTAGTATCTCAGAACACAGCATTGATGACAGACCACTAGTTGGATTTAATGAAAATGCAGAGAGGGACCTTTCGAGTTTAAGTGTCACGTGGTCCCTTTTGGATAAATATATCTTTCTCACTATTAACTTTTCATATTACTACCATTACATTCACACTAATGATAAAAAGAATAAAAAACTCATTTCAATTTACTTTTAAATAAAACCAAACACAGTAGCGTCAAAAACGTAAATGTCCTTTTAACATTTTTTTGAATAAAAATAATCTTATAAAGTCCAGAAATATATTGCAAATAAGATAAACGTTTTAATTTTATAAGTGTTTTTTCATTAATTTAAATCCTACTGTTAGTCATTTCTTTCTTGGTCGTGGTATGCCCAAAGTTCTTCCCATTTTCCTGGGACACACGATATCACGTGCACAGCACGTTAACTGCGCATGCTCAAACTGGCCTAAAAAACCGTGGTCTGATTTCTAAGCTTTCTCTGATGATGATTGTGCTCCTTAATTTGGTTCTTCGAGCAGTTTATCATAAAAAGGTCCATAAGTCGAAGCATTGAGGGACGCTACGCGTCCAAACCGAAGCGCCAGTTCAGATAGTTCGGTGCCCACGGGATCGAGGCCAGGGGGGATTGGCACGTGACCAGTTTCTCGACCGTTGCCATGGCGCAAACGGGCTTTGATGATTTTGAACATATAATCGTATGCACGTTTGGCTAAAATTAAAACGAAATCACTTGAATTAGTTATATATATTCATGGTAAAAAAATAATAATTTATGGTAAAAAAACTAACATATTTATGGTAAAAAAGTAATGACAACCTCAAGTACAACAGTGGCGCAGCTCAAGGGGGTCAGTAGAACTAAAAGCAATGTGAAGGCGCCTCTCAACTAAAATGCGGTGACTGGAAATCAATTAACTCTGGGTCACAGAGGCAGACTCGTACCCAGTCGTTTCTCTTCCCTTATTGATCTCACGCTGTGGTTGATTGGAAGGATTGAGTTAGTTTACAGTACATTTCTTTCTCCTTCCAGAAAGCCTTCGCGCGCGTTAAAAAAAAACGTGAATGACGACTGGGTACGCCGAGTCTACAACAGAGGTGAGAGGTGAGCGTGACTCCCTTAAAAATTTTTTAAATTTTTTTTGAGTGATGCAAACAAAACCACCAATCACCATTCGCATTACCTCGCAAACGTTTTTAAAATCACATGACATGCATTGATGATCATTTGCGCAGATAATGTAGAAGTTTAATAGACCGTTTTCTCAAGGTTGCGTGCGAATCCAAATTTAAGGAACTTGACGGGCCACGATACCAAAACACAAGTATTATCATGCATTGCTATGATTTTTTAAAAAATAAAAATTCATAGAATCGATTATTCTCCTCTTTAAATATAAAACTGGTTTCTCAATTTTACTGAATTTGCGTTTTTCAGTTTTGTGGCCCGTCAAGTGTGACGCGCACGCATCCTTGAGACAACGGTCGATTGAGACTTACAAAGTAGTTTGCGCAGCTGATGTTCGGGATCCCCGAGTGCGATTATCTGTCCCTTGATTAACGCTTCGTGTTCTCCTGCCATTTTAGAAAAACCTCGTTCCACTAGAAACGTGTTGGTTTCTTCTTTAACTTGTTCGTAGATGCTGGACATCGATGATGAAACATCCCTGGTAAATCAATAGAAAATATTATAATATAACTGTTATATAGTGATTGGTTGGGGCTGCGTTCTTTATGAGAGCACACAGCACACAGCGCGCACTCACACTTTCTATTTTGTTCTTCGAATCAAAAAAAGCATAATTTGTATTATATAAAAGTACATATTTGTATAGGAAATCGCATGAGCTCGAGTACAATTCGGAATTTATAGGTACGAGTGGTGTTTTGAAAGTTTTCATAATTTGAGAGCTTTCAAAACATCACGAGTATCTATAAATTCCGAACTGTACGAGAAAATTGTGCGACCTTTTGTTTATAATACACTCAACAAAATTGAGCAACTTAATTGGGACTCTACAGAGTACAATTTGGGATTTAATTGTACTCCTCTCGTTCAATCAGAATCGAGTAATTTTTGTTGAGTGTATTATAAAAACAAACAATATATCTAGCATCCACATTTAACTTATCCGTTTATAAAGTTTTTCAGATATTTTATAGTAATTACCTGTGTAATTAAATGAATAAAAAAATCAACACGTACCCTTCTGATACACCATCCAGCAAAATAAACAAAGCTCTCTTCAAGCTATTAACATAGGTTGTGTCTGACTTTAGTTGCCTAGCAACAGTTTGAATGGTAACGAGCATAATTGAAGCCAAAAGAGTGCTCCGGTGGATACTGGATCTCATTTCTGCCAGTCGTAATTCATCCATTAATAATGTCTGTGAAGAAAGACATGCAATTGAGGCATTAGACATGAAACCTGTGTTAACAATGAGTTAATCTATATGAGAATATATATAAACTATATATTTGTGCTGCAGTTGCAATTTATGGAATTGAGCTGATACTCGCAGTATATCAAGCAACTTATGCAGCTGCAAATTTAAAGACTCAGAAAAAATTATCAGAATTTTTTTTATTCTGAGTCTTTGAGGTTGCAGCTGCATAAGTTGCTTGATATACTGCGAGTATCAGCTCAATTTGATAAATGAGTTTATCGCTAATCACCGCTGTAAGTACAGCAGTGGCAAAGCTTAATGGAGTCAAACTGAAAGCACTGTGAGGACACCTCTTCTAGCTGCTATACGATCCATGTGTGACCCCAAGCAGAAGCTGCCTTATGTAGGATTGGTTTAAGAGGAGAGAGGAAAAACCTCAAAGCTCAAAAAACCCTTGGAGTAGGAAAGAGAACCAATTGAAATGACTAAGCTCACATGCAAATCAAAAACTGGGCCACAGAGGACCACAGAGGACCATGGAGGTAAAAGGTTAGTGTTTTACCACTCTTCGTTAATTCATGACTCCCCATAATTGCATCAAGTATGAATTACCAGGGAGGTACACACACCTCACTGCAGGTTGTATTGATAAGGTTTAGGGCTTTTTTATTACCTCTGGATATGGCCAGCCAGGTTCTCCAAAGATGATGCCAAGATATGCATGTGCAAGAAGATCCATCCTTGATACAGCTTTTGGGGTTGGTGAAGAGTCTGTGGTATCTTGGGGTGTGGTTGAGCTTTCGGCACTTGAAGAGGTTGAGGGGGAATGAGAGGGAGATGGAGATGGCGAGGAAGGTGGCTTTGCTGCTGCTTCATGTGCTACTTCTTTTCCTYTTTCCAACCAAACTTTGGTAGACATTAAACCGGCTATAAAAATAAAATCAGGTAATCTAAGATGGTTTTGCCAAGGACATGAGATTACTGTGTTGTGTGTAAAATTATGATTATAAGATAACAGATTATGATGTATAATTTATATAGTGACTTTTTTATGTAGTAATATGTATGTGCTCAGTGGCACATTACAATCAACAGAGTTGTAGCCACACAGAGGTTGGTTATGTTCCAGGGTTTCTTTACATCCTCAGGGGTTCTTTTACATCCCTCCAATAAGCATCAGTGGAGATAAGTGGACACCATCTAAAGTGGAGGAGGTCGAGAGGGGAAAGAGAGAGAGAAGAGAGAGATCTAGAGTACTGGCTTTGAATTATATCTTACCTGGGTTAGCTTCAAGGTATTGAGTAAACTTCTTTCTCTCATATTCTATAGACTGTTGAAGAAGCTGTGGTCTTATTGCTTGAAGTTGGAAATTAGCCATGTCTATTTTCATTATGTCTATAACTTTAAATATTTCCCTGAAAAAAAAAAGGCAATTCAATTTTTTTTACAAAGTAACTTTGTTGTCATTGAGTGTAAAAGCCCCCCCCCCCCACTCCCCCATTTTGTAAGGATTATTTCTAATGAAGGCTGACTTTGTGGCATCTTAACATTTATGTCGCTTTCTTGCTATTTTATGAACACCAACTTGACCCCCCCTCTCCCCATGGAATTCTTTTCCATCTGCTCTTAATTGGTTTTTCTTGTTTTAAAACAGAAACCCCAATAATACCTTTGAGATACAATTACAGACTTAATTTCAAGGATATATACATTGATATATTTTCAAAGTACCATACCTAAACAAATTGACTATGCCGTCCACTTGTAGGAGTGCCTGAACCTGCGCATCTCTTGCTGGAGCACACAGCTTTCCCAAAAGATTTACGACAAACTGTGCACATTGTCTGAGATCAAGAGCATTGTGATCAATCTGTTGCTTGATCAGCTCAATGTCAAGCACTTCATTGACTTGTGCCCTCAGGGAATTGTGGTGAGGTAAGAGAAGAGAAAGAAGGTTCTGTTGTAAGAGATAATGCTTGTTATGAAACAATTTATTCAACATATACAAGGAATATCAACCAGCAGGGTCTTGTTTTCATATTAGTCTATAAGCCTCTCCACACTTTGTTAATATGTCTTCTACATTTTCCATACTGAAACCTCTCCCTGGTCCCCCACATTTTATCATTTATTCAATCTAATTTTTGACCAGTGATTCTACTGCAAAGAGACATGCAAGGGCCGGGTTGTTCCAAGCTGGATTAGCGCTAATCCAGGATTAACTCTATAGGTCTTATTAAGAGTTAACCCAGGATTAGCACTAATCGGGCTT